AGGAGTTTAGTTTATTTAAGCAAGGATGATGCTAGCCCTTCCCAAAACTAAACTGCCTTCATAAAACTAATAAACAGGCCACAAGGTTAGGATTATGAGAGCGGCCTGAATTCTGATAATACGGAGTTATTAAATGATAACCAGCCATTGTTCTGAGGTCACATGATTTGCAACCTCCACAGTTGCCCCTGTAAGTAACATCACTATTGTAGAACCTAAGATTGGTCTTCTGGGATGTTTTTGCAGACTTTTGTATTCGGGCAACTGACTGACCACACCTGGGCTTGCAACTTGTGACTCAACAGGTCCTGTGGCCCCACCCAGAGGGGGACTTAGTCCCCAGGACCGTTTTCCACACCCCTATGATTCCATCCCCAACCGATCAACATTCCCTGTTTCCTAGCCCTCTGCCCACCAAACTATCCTTGAAAAACTCTAACCCACGAGCCTTCGGGGAGACTGACCTGAGTACTAACTCCCTCTTGTGCATGGTTGGCCTCATATCAGTTACACTCTCTTTGCTGCAATGCCATGGCCTCAGTGAATTGATTTTTGTCTGTGCAGAGGGTGGGAGAAAGCCACTGGGCAATTACGAAACAACATTTATTATCTCCTGTAGTTTCTGTGAGTCTGGGCTCCAGGAGCAGCTCAGCTGAATGGTTCTGGTTCAAGGTCTGTCATGAGGTTGCAGTCTCTAAAGATACAACTGGGGCTGCAGGGTTCACTCCCAGCTAGCTCGTGGAGCTACTGGCAATGAGGCTCCAGTTCCTTAGCATGTGGTCCTCCCCAGTGCACTAACATGGTTTCAGCCAGAGCAAGTGATTAGACCAAAGACGGGAATAGAGAACCAAAAGAAGTGCAGTCCTTGATCATCTCACCTAGGAAGAGACATACCATGACTTCTGTTAATTCTGTTGTTTTTTGTTTTTGTTTTTGAGACGGAGTCTTGCTCTGTCACCAGGCTGGAGTGTAGTGGTGCGATTTTGGCTCACTGCAACCTCTGACTCCTTGGTTCTCCTGCCTCAGCCTCCCAAGTAGCTGAGACTACAGGCGTGGGCCACCACGCCCAGCTAATTTTTGTATTTTTAGTAGAGATGGGGTTTCACCACATTGGCCAGAATGGTCTTGATCTCTTGACCTCTTGATCCACCCACCTTGGCCTCCCAAAGTGCTGGTATTACAGGCGTGTATTACCTGGTATTACTGGTATTACCGCGCCTAGCCAATTCTATTGGTCTTAAAGATTTATCTCAAATATTTATCTTGGCACACTGCGGGAAGGGATGACGGCATAAGGTCTGAGTATCAGGAGAGAGGGATTGTTGGGGTCTATCTTGGAGGCTGGCTCCCACTCTGCTCTCTAGCCCCCGTAAATCCACAGTCCTCCCACATGTAAGTACATTCACCCCCTCCCAAGGAACAAGACAGTCCCATCAGCTCACAGCATCAGCTCAGAGTTCATCTTATCTGTGTTAGGTGCAGGGGCAGATGACGACCCTAGGCTGTGGTTCTCAGGTACAGCTCTAAGACAGTTCTTCCTGATCTGCAAGGCTGAGAACTAGACATGTTATCACCCTCCCAACACCCAGCATGCAGTGGTGGGACAGTTACATGATGCCCAGATGCTCCTGTTCAGAAAGGCTGCAAATGAAAGGCACACACATTGCTGGTCCATAGGCAGTTCTGAAATCCAGCTGGGCGAGCACTGAAACCCAGTGCTATTCCTGCCAGGAAATGACTTTCCAGACTGTTGACTCTGCCCTGGGAGGACTTAATTCCATCTTAGTAGTCAGACTTTTACATGAAAGGGGGTGTGGATTTACAGCAAAGCCTTTTTCTCACCTTGTTTCCTGCCTGTAGAATCTTGGAAATCTCAAGGCCGGTTTTGTTTTTTGTTTTTTTTTTTTTTTTACTTTGTCTCTTTCAGTTCAAGTTGACCAAGTTACTGCTGATGTAATTATTTTTTTAAACTTCGTCTTCTGTGAATCATATTGAGGTATCACCTTTTGATTTTTATTTTTTATTTTACAGACAAGGTCTCGTTCTGTTGCCCAGGCTGGAGTGCAGTGGCATGGTCTTAGCTTACTGCAGCCTCAATCTCTGAGCTCCAGCAAAACTCCCACCTTAGCTTCCCGAGCAGCTGGGACTACAGGCATATGCCATTGTGCCAGGCTAATAATTTTTTGCAGAAACGGGGTCTTACCATCCTGCCCATGCTGGTCTCGAACTCCTGCACTCAAGCGATCCTCCCACCTCGGCCTCACAAAGTGTCAGGATTACAGGCATGAGCCACTGTGCCTGGCCCACCTTCGTCTTTTCTCCGGTTTTAACAAAGGATTTTATAGTTACACCCTCACTTTAATCTTTAAACCGTATTTTGAGTGTTCTGAATTTAATCTTTGCTCTGAAGCCACTTTTAAATGTTAGTGTAATCATTTGCCACCTGGAGAAGCTGTGAATCTTCTAAACCAGTGAGGACTGGTTTCTTTTTCAACAGTTCTTTCTTTAGCTTATTTCATTCCTGTCTTATTTTATTACAAGTGGCAAGAAGAAACCAATGGCATTTTCACTCTAGTTGGAAACAGACTTAGCTAGATCGCTCACTCCTTAGCTGTATTTTCCACTTTCCACACAACTGCAGGTGATAGCATTGCTGAACTTACTGCCTCTAACCAGGACTTCCCTTTCTGCAGTGCCCAGGAATACTCCCAGGTTCAAGCAATTCTCTTGCCTCAGCCTCCCAAGTAGCTGGGACTACAGGAACTTGCCACCACACCCAGCTGATTTTTGTATTTTTAGTAGAGATAGGGTTTTGCCATGTTGGCCAGGCTGGTCTCAAACTCCTGGCCTCAGGTGATTTGTCTGCCTTGGCCTCCCAAAGTGCTGGGATTACAGACATGAGTCACCATGCCTAAACAAAAAAAAAATTTTTTTAGAGATAGGGGTGTTGCTATGTTGCCCAGTCTGTCCTCAAATTCCTGGACCCAAGCAATCCTCCTGTGTTAGCCCTCCTGAGTAGCTGGGACTACAGGTGTGCACCACCATGCCCGCCTCCAACTGTGAGGCATTTATCAGTTTCAAAGCACTATGGGCTTTCAGCAGCACTCTCCTCAAAGCCCACTGCCTGATTCCAAAGCCACTCCTGCATTGAAGGGTTTTGTTATGGCAGCACCTTGCTAACCGATACATAAATCTGTGTTATATATTGCTCCATACATTACAAATGAACTCAAAACTTAGCTGCCTCACAAATCCTCAGAGGTCAGAATCTGGGAGCATCCTAGCCCGGTGGTTCCAGCTTCAGGCTTGCGTGCAGTTATACTCAAGCTGTTGGCCAGAGCAGCCAGCTCTGAAGACTTAGCTGGGACCTGAGGGCCACCTCTAAGCTCTCTCTCATTGCTGTGGGCAGGAAGCTTCAGTTCCTTGCTGTGTGGGCCTCTCCATGGGGTCACTCACAACAGGACTTCTTCCCCTCCCCCCAGAGCGAGGGACCCAAGAGAGACCACCAGGACAGCCATGGTCTATTATAACCTAATCTCAGAAGTGATGTACTACCACTTTGAGACTCAAGTGATCCTCCCACCTCAGCCTCCCTAGTAGGTGGGACTACAGGCACGTGCCACCATGCCTGGCTAATTTTTGTATTCTGTAATTTTTGTATTTTGTATTCTTTGTAGAGACAGGGCTTCACCATGTTGCCCAGGCTGGTCTTGAACTCCTGGGCTCAAGCAATCTGCCCATCTTGCCCTCCCAAAGTGCTGGGATTATAGGCATGAGCCACTGCGCCTGGCCTCATTTTTTTCAATGTGAGGTATTCTAGAACCAACCTGCCCTCCCACCCCAAATTTAAGGTTGAGACAACCTACTATTTATTTCAAAAGAAGTATTAAGTATCTAACATACAGTAGGTACTTCGGAGGGCAAAAAAACACAGTCCTTGCCTTTGAGAAAGTGCCTATTTGAGAAAACAAAACACAGCTACAATACAGTGTGACAAATTCTACAGAAGGGGATAAAGGGAATGCCCAAGAGAGCCAGATGAGCAGATTTTTTTTTTTTTTTCAGATGGAGTCTCGATTTGTCGCCACGCTGGAGTACCGTGGTACGATCTAGGCTCGATGCAACCTCCGCCTCCTGGGTTTAAGCTATTCTCCTGCCTCAGCGTCCTGAGTAGCTGGGATTACAGGTGCACACCACCACTCTCAGCTAATTTTTTTTTTTTTTTTGAGACGGAGTCTTGCTGTCACCCAGGCTGGAGTACAGTGGCGTGATCTCAGCTCACTGCAAGCTCCACCTCCCAGGTTCATGCCATTCTCCTGCCTCAGCCTCCCGAGTAGCTGGGATTACAGGCACCCGCCACCACACTCAGCTAATTTTTTGTATTTTTAGTAGAGACGGGGTTTCACCGTGTTAGCCAGGATGCTCTCCATCTCCTGACCTCATGATCCGCCCGCCTCGGCCTCCCAAAGTGCTGGGATTACAGGCGTGAGCCGCTGCACCCGGCCAATTTTTGTACTTTTAGTAGAGATGGGGTTTTACCATGTTGGTCAGGCTGGTCTTCAACTCTTTTTTTTTTTTTTTGAGACACAGTCTCACTCTGTCACCCAGTCTGGAGTGCAGTGCCATGATCTAAGCTCACTGAAATATCTGCTGGCCAGATTCAAGCGATTCTCCTGCCTCAGCCTCCCAAATACTTGGGAATTACAGGCACCTGCCACTGCACCTGGCTAAATTTTGTATTTTTAGTAGAGATGGGGTTTCACCATCTTGGTCAGGCTGGTGTTGAACTCCTGACCTCATGATGCACCTGCCTTGGCCTCCCAAAGTGCTGGGATAATGGGCGTGAGCCACTGTGCCTAGCCTGGTCTCGATCTCTTGACCTCATGATCTGCCCGCCTCAGCCTCTCAAAGTGCTGGGATTATAGGCATGAGCCACCACACCAGGCCTGAGCAGACTTTTAAAACAGAGCATGAGACAAGAAAAAAGGAGTGAGCAGAACAAAGTTAAAAGCCTTTTATAACCACACTTGGAGTCTGAACAGTGCATGACTTGATCATTATAACCTTATAAGCAGGAGAGGGAAATGATCAGATACATTTTTTAAAATTCACCTATATTTTAATGCTTTCATAGTTTTATTTTTAAAAATACTGATTCATTTGGAACTTTGTAAATATAACATTTAATACAAGTCAAAATTATATAAATTGCAAACATGAGTTAAGCCAACTGTAATGCATACCCATCAGAAAGAACTTTAAAGCCTCCAAGAGCTTTGAAGCTTCTTCCAAGTTTTTAATTTCACAGAAATACAGCAGAATAAACACTCCTGCTTATAAGACTTTGAAGAATTTGACTGAATCATGAAATACTGTGTGGTAAGATGGATTGAAGAGGCAGAAAGCAAAGTTCTATGGGTTTGTTTTCTAATGCTGAGAAATCATGTCAGCTGGGGAAAAAATAGCAATTACGGAGTGCCTTACTGCATACATTTTTACCTCGTTCTCATTTGGTACATTGTAAAATGGCACAGTCCACAGATTATTATATGCAGAAAGCAATCCTTTTCTAATCCTATTCCCATGGATATCAATGTTCAATGTTTACTGCCATGAGCTCAATCAAGGTATGGTGTGGTTTTAACGTGAAGCCTTTATTGTGCCAGGAGGTGATGGCATAGCTGACTTCAAGCAGAACAAGGAGCATGTAGAGACTGGGTTTTGCCATGTTACCCAGGCTGGTCTCAAACTTCTTTCCTAGTTGGTCTGCTCCGTCTCTTCCAGGATGAGCACAGTGTCCACAGTTATTCCTACGTCCTCCAGCGACTGGCCCCCCTCCACTGCCAGAGGCCGTCTGGGAAAGGAAGTAGAAAGGCTGTATAGAGATGTGTGGTACCCAATTCTCATCATCCAGTCAAGTAAGACCTAGAAGATAAAAAGCTTGGCTTAGTCATTATCAAAAACTTTACACACCGTGTCCCTTTAGACCACCATAACATTTTATAATTTTGTCAATGTAAAATCATATCCCTAGGAGTCATGAGACAGAATTTTCATACCTTTCAAAGAAACTTTCTAGAGCTTAAAGGAAAATAGCTTGCTATGAGTTTTGAGATAGGAATATTCTTTTTTTTTTTTGACATAGGAGTCTTGCTCTGTCACCCAGGCTGGAGTGCAATGGCACGATCTCGGCTCACTGCAGCCTCTACCTCCTGGGTTTAAGCGATTCTCCTGCCTCAGCCTCCAGAGTAGCTTGGATTATACAGGCGCCTGGCACCATGCCCAGCTAATTTTTGTATTTTTGGTAGAGATGGGGTTCCACCATGTTGGCCAGGCTGGTCTTGAACTCCTGACCTCAAGTGATCTGCCTGCCTGCGCCTCCCGAAGTGCTGAGATTACGGCCATAAGCCACTGTGCCCAGCCAAAAATTAGCCAGGCGTGGTGGTGGGCACCTGTAATCCCAGGCCCTCAGGAGGCTGGGGAGGGAGAATAATTTGAACCCAGGAGGCGGAGGTTGCAGTGAGCTGAGATCCTGCCACCGCACTCCAGCCTGGGTGACAGAGCAAGACTCTGTCTCAAAACTATATATATATATATACACACACACACACACACACGTATGTATACATTTTTTTCCAAACATATAATGGCACAGAAGTTTGAGACCAGCCTGGGTAACATGGCGAAACCCAGTCTCTACAAAAAATACAAAAATTAGCCAGGCCCGGTGGTGCGTGCCTATAATCCCAGCTACTCAGGAGGCTGAGGTGCAAGGATCACCTGAGCCCGGGAATGTCAAGGTTTCAGTGGGCTGTGATTGTACCACTGTGCTTCAGCTTTGGTGACACAGTGAGAACCAATCTCACAAAAATAAATAAAAACAATTGTAAATTATCTGTCAGGAACACTGATCCTATTTACATTCACATTAACAAGTTATGATGGCCAGACACAGTGGCTCACACCTGTAATCCCAGCACTTTGGAAGGACGAGGCAGGAGAATCATTTGAGCCCAGGAGTTGAAGATTGACCTGGTCAGCATAGTGAGACCCTGTTCTATTTTTAAAATATAAAAAATATTAAAGGTTTTCTGTGTTGTTTTTTGAGACAGTCTTGCTCTGTCTCCCAGACTGGAGTGCAGTGGCACAATCTCAGGTCACTGCAACCTCCGCCTCCCGTGTTCAAGCAATTTTCCTGCCTCAGCCTCCTGAGTAGCTGGGACTACAGGCGCCCACCACCATGCCTGGCTAATTTTTGTATTTTTAGTAGAAACAAGGTTTCACCATGTTGGCGAGGATGGTCTCGATCTCTTGACCTCGTGATCTGCTTGCCTAAGCCTCCCAAAGTGTCGGGATTACAGGTGTGAACCACAGTACCCGGCCAAAAAACTATTAAAGTTTTAAGCATCCCTGTTTTCCAATCTGGGTACTATTTCTTTTTAATCTTTGACAGTCCAGTTAGGTAGAAAATATGGTTTCATTTTATTTGTACTTCATTGATTCTATGTGAGGCCAAACATTTTTTTCATATATTTATCTGTCACTGAGTCTTCTTTAGGAAACATGATATTCATATGTTTCTTTCCCTGTCAGTCTACTGAGGTGTTTATCTTTTCCTTGATTTAAGCTCCTTATAAAAAATGACTGTCACACATAAATAGTAAAATGGGCTGGTTGTGGTGGCTCACGCCTATAATCCCAACACTTGGGGAGGCCAAGGTGGGCGGATCACTTGAGCCCAGGAGTTTAAGACCAGCTTGGCCAACATGGCAAAACCCTGTCTCTACTAAAAATACAAAAATTAGCCAGGAACAGTGGTACGTGCCTCTGGTCCCAGCTACTTAGGAGGCTGAGGCACAAGAATTGCTTGAGGCCGGGAGATGGAGGTTGCAGTGAGCTGTGATCGCACCACTCTATTCCAGCCTGGGTGACAGGGCAAGATTATGTCTCCAAAAAAAAAAAAAAAATCTAAACTTTATGAACAGTTTCTTTACGGAATTTTTAATTTTTTTTTTTTTGAGTGATCTCAGCTCACTGCAAGCTCTGCCTCCCAGGTTCACGCCATTCTCCTGCCTCGGCCTCCCGAGTAGCTGGGACTACAGGTGCCCACCACCACGCCTGGCTAATTTTTTTGTATTTTTAGTAGAGACGAGGTTTCACCATGTTAGGATGGTCTTCATCTCCTGACCTCATGATCCGCCCGCCTTGGCCTCCCAAAGTGCTGGGATTACGGGCGTGAGCCACCGCACCTGGCTGGATTTTTTATGTAGTCAAATCCAGTATTTTCCATTATGGTTTACAGCATTCTTGTCATTGAAGGTTAAATACAACAAACAGGACAGAAAATTATTTACATATATTTTTAATGCACACATAATTTTATGTTTAAATGTAATTAGAGATGGAAATATACCAAAATGTTAGTAACTGGTTTTGGCATGAGACTACAGATCAAATTTTTTTCACTCTACTTTTCCATATTTTCCAAATTATCACTAACAACCACAGTATTGTTTTTTATTATTTCTTATTTTTGAGACAGAATTTTGCTCTGTCACCCAGGCTGGAGTGCGGTGGCACGATCTCGGCTCATTAAAACCTCTGCCTCCCAGGTTCGAGTGATTCTCCTGCCTCAGCCTCCCAAGTAGCAGGGATTACAGGAGTCCGCCACCATGCCCGGTTAATTTTCATATTTTTAGTAGATATGGGGTTTCACCATGTTGGCCAGGCTGGTCTCGAACTCCTGACCTCAAGTGATCTGCCCGCCTTGGCCTCCCAAAGTGTTGGGATTATAGACGTGAGCCACTGCACCCAGCCCACAGTACTGTTTTTAAAAGAAGAAAAAGTCTAAAGTTAATAGTGGCTACTTCCTAAGGATTTAAAAGCATCTTGCCCATCAAATTATGAAAATGTAATGAAAGCAAACAACAAAGGAAAAATACACCAAAGGGAAAGAATAAGTAAAATGTGAATGCAGAGATCACAATTCAGAGACATCCGGCATGCATGCCTAGTTAGCCAAATTTCTGCAATGTGGAGTACCTGGAAATGTCCTTTATCCATACGTGATGGGAGGTGCAGGATGACAGTGTGATCACACCTTCCCAACGGCATGTGAATAAACTACTGCCAAATTCAACAAAGATATTTCTCAAAATGCGAATTCCTTCACTTACCTGTGAGCTGCAGGACTTCATAAACCTTCTCCTCAGGACATTCCCACTGGGACATCGGAGAGCAACAGTAACTACCTGAGGAAGAAAGATTCACGTAAGAACTCTGATCCATTGCTCTTTGCAATTCCTTTCATTCTATAAAACAGCTAAGCAGCTAAAAAGGACTTAGATGCTGCTTTGCTAATTATTAAAAGACATAGGTAGGGCATGGTGGTGGCTCACGCCTATAATCCCAGGACTTTGGGAGGCTGAGACAGGCAGACCACTTGAGGCCAGGAGTTTGAGACACCCCCCCCCCCAACAAAAAAATAGAAAAATTAGCTAGACATGGTGGTGTACTCCTCTAGTCCCAGCTACTTGGGAGGTTGAGGTGGGAGAATTGCCTGAGCCCAGGGAATCTGAGACAGCAGTTAGCTGTGATCACGCCACTACACCCCAGCCTGGATGACAGAGCAAGATTGTCATCCAGTCTTTAAAAAAAAAAAAAAAAGACATTATAAAATGAGATGACGACAAATTAGTGTTTATTTTTCAACTGTCAAGAAACCCTTTATGACTAACATGATCATTAACTGTGCTGGGAGTTATGTGGGTATCATATTATGCATAAGCGGTAGTTTTAGAGCAGCACCCCTCCCTCTCAGAAAAGCTATGTTAGAATATATTTCCAACAGGCCAGGTGCAGTGGCTCAGGCTACAATCCCAGCACTTTGGGAGGCCGAGGTGGGCAGATCACTTGAGGTCAGGAGTTCGAGACCAGCCTGGCCAACATGGTGAAACCCCATCTCTCCTAAAAATACAAATATTAGCCAGGCATTGTGGCACACACCTGTGGTCCTAGCTACTCAGGAGGCTGAGGCAGGAGAATGGCTTGAACCCGGAAAGCAGAGGTTTCAGTGAGCCAAGATCGTGCCATTGCACTCCAGCTTGAGCAACACGGTGAGACTTGGTCTCAAAAAAAAAAAAAAGCTTTCCCATCAGTGACTCACACCTATAATCCCACCACCTGGGGAGGCCAAGGTGAGAGGATCACATGAGACCAGGAGTCAGACCAGCCTGAGCAACACAGTGAGACCCAATCTTTACCAAAAAAAATTTTTTTAATTTAAAAATTAGCCAGGCCTGGTGGCATGTGCCTGCAGTCCTAGTTACTTGGAACGCTAAGGTAGGAGGATCACTTGGGCCTGAGAGGTTGAAAATGCAGTGAGCTATGATCGTGCCACCACACTCCAGTCTATGAGACAGAGCAACAGCCTGTCTCAAAAAAAAAAAAAAAAAAAGGTTTCCACGGGGTATAGCTGTTGCCGAGTCCCAAGAAGTGGGTTCTCCTGGATTTATTGCCCAAATGACTTAATGGCTTTCAAGACAGGTGTGTACTCCCCATACATGAGGAAGTGTCTATAAGTAGGGTGGCCAGTGACAGGAAGGCACCACGGACTATGACTCAGCAACTGGGAAGAAGGCAGCTTGACACAGCTGGGGATCAGTCCTAGCCCAGCCCCCAACAGCAAACCACTCCTAAATTAAAACATCTACAACGTAGTTGCCCTCTTCATTTTCTCCTTTGAAAAGGAGAACTGCAATTTGAAGTCATTTGCCTAGTTTTTTTCCTTTTTGTAGTGACAGGGTCTCACTATGTTGCCCAGGCTGGTCTTGAATTCCTAAGCTGAAGTAATCCTCCCCTCTTGGCCTCCCAAAGTGCTGGGACATATGCCTATTTTGATTCTGTTTTAGTAAGCCATGCATTATCTGACCTAAAGTTCTGGAAAAGCCCACGTGTATCCTATGCCTGAGGCAGTGGGTGGGTGTAATCCCAGCACTTTGGGAGGTCAAGACAGGCAGATCACCTGAGGTCAGGAGTTCCAGGCCAGCCTGGCCAAATTGGTAAAACCCTGTCTCTACCAAAAATACAAAAACTAGCCTGGTGTGGTGGTAGCTACTTGGGAGGCTGAGGCAGGAGAATCGCTTGAACTCGGGAAGCGGAGGTTGCAGTGAATTGAGATCAAGTCATTGTACCCCAGCCTGGGCGACAAGAGCGAGACTTCATCTCAAAAAAAAGACAACTCAGCACACAGCAGGCTTGCAAAATCGGACTCATGCTGAGGAATTTGATACTACACTGCATTCCAAATAAGACTGACTGACTAGGAGGCGGAGGCAGGTGGATCACTTGAGCCCAGGAGTTCAAGGCCAGCCTAGGCAGCATAGTGAGACCCTGTCTCTATGTTCTAAAAAAGACCTAGTTACAGTATAATCACGTGAACACTTACGCTATCATATCTTTCTAAACCCAAGCTTAGATAAGACATATTTAATGGATGTTAAGCAAGGAAAATAGAAAATAAGTTTACTTTTCAAAGAGAACAACAGACTTACTTCTGCCGTTTGAGAAGGTTCTTCAGGTAAATCAGGAATCTAAAGAAAAGGATTGGTAAGAGGAATGTAAACATTTTCAAGAAGCAAACAAAAGTGTCAGCGAGAAGAGTTCCCCTCAATACAGGGTTTAGACACACATCTAAGCTTACTTAAATCTTTATACATCTATAAAAAGTTTATAATGCAAATAGCTCAATTAATAAACATTTTTGGGCAAGTATGCTAAAATTAATCATAAAAATAGGATTTGAGATAACAGCTCCCAAGCTATACATATTTAAAGGATTTTGCTTCTATTATGTTCCAAAATATTACTAATATATAAAAATGTACTATTTTTTTAAAAACAGCCAGATACAGTGGCTCATGTCTGGAACCCCAGCAACTCAGGAGGCTGAGGCAGGAGGATCACTTGAGCTCAGAAGTTCAAGGCTAACCATTGCAACAAAGCAAGACTCTGTCACTTTAAAAAAAAAAAAAAACATGATGTGTATGCATATACACATACATTTACATAAAAACAGGATAAATATTAACATGAATCAGCCAGGCACAATGGCTCACACCTGTGATCCCAACACATTGGGAGGCCGAGGTGGGTAGATCACTTGAGGTCAAGAGTTCATGATCAGGGTAGCTAACATGGTGAAACCCCATCTCTACAAAAACACAGAAATTATCCAGGCATGATGGCAGGTGCCCATAATCCCAGCTACTCAGGAGGCTGAGGCAGGAAAATCACTTGGAACCCAGGGAGCAGAGGTTACAATGAGCTGAGGCTGTGTCACTGCATTCCGGCCTGGGTGACAGAGCAAGCCTCCATCTTTAAAAAAAAAAAAAAATTAGACCCCAAAATTATTTTGCTTCAAACATATACACATTTTATTTTATTTTATTTTATTTTATTTACTTATTTTTTTTCTGAGACGGAGTCTCGCCCTGTCACCCAGGCTGGAGTGCAGTGGCGCGAACTCGGCTCACTGCAAGCTTCACCTCCCGGGTTCACACCATTCTCCTGTCTCAGCCTCCCAAGTAGCTGGGACTACAGGTGCCCCACACCATGCCAGGCTTATTCTTTGTATTTTTTAGTAGAGACGAGGTTTCACTGAGTTAGCCAGGACGGTCTTGATCTCCTAAATTTGTGATCCACCCGCCTCAGCCTCCCAAAGTGCTGGGATTACAGGTGTGAGCCGCCGAACAAATTTTAACATGAATATGAACTTATCGTCACTCACACTCCCAGGTGACTGCCAGAAACCATTTACTTTGGTTGCTTCTGTCATTTACTCATTTCTCCCTATTTCCATTAATCTATTAAGAATCCAGATATTGGGTTGGGTGTGGTGGCTCACGCCTGTAATCCCAGCACTTTCGGGGGCTGAGGCAGGCAGATCACCTGAGGTCAGGAGTTCAAGACCAGCCTGGTCAACATGATGATACCCCATCTCTACTAAAAATACAAAAATTAGCCAGGCGTGCTGGTGCACGCCTGTAATCCTAGCTACTTAGGAAGTTGAGGCACGAGAATCTCTTGAACCCAGGAGGCAGAGACTGCAGTGAGCCATGACTGCGCCACTGCACTCCAGCCTGGGTGACAGAGTGAGGCTCTGTCTCAATAAAAATAAAATAATCCAGATATTTAGACCATTTTCTTTCATTAAAACATTTGTTACCAATGACTTCATCTCCAGGAACTCTCTTTATTGATTAATACCACAGAATGTATTTTTTAACATGTAATCTAACCTTACTTGCATTTACTATATAACTCATTTGTTTTCCTTTGGTATCAAAAGCATATGTGACTGTCAAGTAAAATCTGCCATCAGCATAAGATAGTGTTATTAACAAAACACAAACATGTGTTTTTAATCAGTCCGCGTAGTTCATATTGACCTTTTTCAAATGTCAGTGATAGTTCAATAATCGGATTCCTCTGCTTAATCTCCACTACGGGACCAGGAAATCTCAGATTGAGAAGCAGTATCTTAGAAACTATTTTCAGGGAACAGACAGCTTCCCAGCTTTCCCTAAGGGCTGGTAAAAACAGATTTCTTATTTCCAATCTTTTCCAGCTCCAATCGGAATTACGTTAGGGATTGAAGATTTGAATGAAAAACATGTATAATAAACCTGGGCACTAATCCGAAGTGACTGATTGCTAATCTATTCCCTAGAAGGGCCAATAAGGAAAATGATACACTCATGTTAATGACAGCTATTAGCCACTCACAAGACAGGGCTTGATAATGTCTTAGGTCAACAGGAATGCTTCCCCTCGTAAGCATTATATTTTTCATTTTTACATAATCAAATTCCTTAAAAAGAATTGAGTATCTTTGGCCAGGCACAATGGCTCACACCTGTAATCCTAGCACTTTGGGAGGCCAAGGCGGGAGGATCACGAGGTCAGGAGATGGAGACCATCCTGGCTAACACGGTGAAACCCTGTCTCTACTAAAAATACAAAAAAATTAGCCTGGCACAGTGGCAGGTGCCTGTAGTCCCAGCTACTCGGGAGGCTGAGGCAGGAGAATGGTGTGAACCCAGGAGGTGGAGCTTGCAGTGAGCTGAGATCTCGCCACTGCACTCCAGTCTGGACGACAGTGTGAGACTCCGTCTCAAAAAAAAAAAAAAAAAAAAAGAATTGAGTATTTTTTTTTCTGAGACACAGTCTCACTCTATCACCCAGGCTGGAGTGCAGTGGCTTGATCTAGGCTCACTGCAACCTCCCCTTCCCTGGGTTCAAGAGAGTCTCCTGCTTCAGCCTCCCAAGTAGCTGGGATTACAGGTGCCTGCCACTAACTTTTGTATTTTTAGTAGAGACGGGGTTTTACCATCTTGGCCAGGCTGGTCTTGAACTCGTGACCTCGTGATCCACCCACCTCAGCCGCCCAAACTGCTGGGATTACAGGCATGAGCCACCACGCCCAGCCCTTTTTTTATTTTTTTGAGACAGAGTTTCACTATTGTCATCCAGGCTGGAGTGCAATGGTGCAATCTTGGCTCACTGCAACCTCCACCTCCCGGGTTCAAGCAATTCTCCTGTCTCAGCCTCCTCAGTAGCTGGGATTACAGGCACCTGCCACCATGCTCAGCTAATATTTTTGTATTTTTAGTAGAGATGGGGTTTTACCATGTTGGCCAGGCTAGTCTTGAACTCCTGACCTCAGCTGATCTGCCTGCCTTGGCATCCCAAAGTGCTGGGATTACAGGCATAAGCCACCATGTCCGGTCAATAATTGAGTATTTTCTAGACCTATTATCATTTGTCTTTATTGCTTCCAAGTTAGATTCAGAGCCTTAATATTGAACAAGGAAAAGTCTTTTTTTTTTTTTTTTTTTTTTAAATAGAGATGGGGTTTCACCATGTTGGCCAGGCTGGGCTCAAACTCCTGGCCTCAACCTCCCAAAGTGTTGGGATTACAGGTGTCAGCCACGGCGCCCAGTCTATTCTTAATAAAGGTGATCGCTTTCTAAGGTAGCGGGAAGACACCATCTGGATAAAAGGCCAGTCCTGATCTTCACCCAGTACACCCACCTCACCCAGAGTTTGACAGTCCTACTGCACACAAACACAATTCAATGACAGGCATGAAGTACTTTACCTCCTTGCATGTGGGCTGTTCAGCAGGAGATGGAAATTCATTTAAAGGTTTAGGCAAGTTCTGGCTCTTTGCTGCTTCTCTATTTGATGTTTCAAAAGATGTCTGACTTGTACCTTCATCACCCTGGTCAAACACAACAGACAATTTCTAAAGAGATGTTTTCTATCAACTTTATTATATTCACAATTGTTTTTCCTTTTTCTTTTTTTTTACCCTGATGGCATGTCAGTAGAAAAATATTAGCAAGCCATTATGAGACCCAAAAAATTAAAGCATTATCTCTGTCAACAAGAAAACACGAGGCTTTAGCAGGGTGCTGTGGCTCACACCTGTAATCCCAGCACTTTGAGAGACTGAGGAGGGCAGATCACCTGAAGTCAGGAGTCCAAGACCAGCCTGGCTAACACAGTGAAACGCTGTCTCTACTAAAAGAATACAGAAATTGGCTGGGTGCGGTGGCTCATACCTGTAATCCCAGAATTTCAGGACACCAAGGTGGGCAGATCACTGGAGGTCAGGAGTTTGAGACCAGCCTAGTCAACATGGTGAAACCCCACCTCTACTAAAAAAAATACAAAAATTAGCCAGGCGTGGTGGCAGGCACCTGTAATCCCAGCTACTCGGGAGACTGAGGCAGGAAAATCGCTTGAGCCTAGGACGCGGAGGTTGCAGTGAGCCGACATCACACCACTGCACTCTAGCCTGGGTGATGGAGTGAGACTCTATCTCAAAAACAAAAATTAGCTGAGGCAGAAGAATCCCTTGAACCTGAGAGGCAGAGGTTGCAGTGAGCTGAGATGGCGCCACTGCACTCCAGCTTGGGCAACAGAGCGAGACTCCGCCTCAAAAAAAAAAAAAGAAAACTTAAAATTGTAAACTTCTGTAGAAACTGACAAAATTCATATTCAATGCTGAAGGAAAACATAACCAAAGTTTAATTTGACTTAAAAATCAGAATATATAATATATATAACATGAGCTTAATACCTTGGAGATCCTGACTTGAGGAAAGATCAGAATGTTCTTGCCCTCATATAAGACAATAGCAATTTATTCGACAGTTTTAAAGACTATCTTATGTCACAGTTTTTGTTTGTTTGTTTGTTTTTTGGAGAAACGGTCTTGCTCTGTCTCCCAGGCTGGAGTGCAGCGGTGGTCACAGCTCACTGCAGCCTTTTGACCTCCTCGGCTCAAGTGATCCTCCTGCCTTAACCTCCCTAGTAGCTGAAACTATAGCCACACACTATCACATCTGGCTAATTTTTAATTTTTTTTTTTTTTTTTTTTAGAGACAGGGTCTTCCTATGTTGCCCAGGCTGGTCTCAAACTCCTGGTCTCAAGCAATCTGCCTGCCTTGTCCTCCCAAATTGCTGGGATTACAGGCGTGAGCCACCACAACAGCTTTTTAAGGAACCAAGTTATATGCTCTTTAGGCACCAAAAAACACTTCACCAGCCAGATGCAGTCCGTGGTAGGGTGCACCTGTAGTCCTATCAACCTAAGAAGCTGAGGCAGGAGGATCCTTTGAGTCCTGGAGTTTGAGGCTGCAGTGAGCTACGATAGTGCCACTGCACCCCAGCCTGGGCAACAGCAAGAGACCCTGTCTTTTAAAAACAAAGACCAACCCCTTAACCATGCGATAAACAAGTATGCTGAACAAAAACTGATATACAATCATTATCAATAAAAACTCCTAAAAACAGACTAACATCAGTTTCAATTACAAATCAATCATGTAATAGGAAACACAGTAAGAGGATTCAAAATATAAAATGAGAATATTTTCCAACCCCAAGTTTGTGACCACTGCTTAATTTCCAGGCTTCACCCGTCATTTGATAAAAGCGCTCCTCCAGTTTTCTCAATTTCATTTCCCGGTGAGGTTTTAAAATGTTCTCTATGTATCTGCTGGCCTGTTCAAAACAACAAATTAGGCGTTGTTACTATACATTAATGTTCCTTAAAATGTACGCTATCTATAAAGTTGTAAATAAGAAGCAAGTAAGAGCCCTGCTGGCTGAACAGAGCCACTGCCACCCTGTTTGGCTGCTTGGTTGCGGGGAGGCTCGTGCCGACAGGTAGACAGCAAGCTGGACAGACATTGGTTTTTGACCTGCCTGATTATGAAACTATCAACCAGGTTGTGGTTTTCATGCTGGGAACAATCCCATATCCTGATTCAAATGGAATGCCAGTATGGTAACTCCAAGGATTTGTCACAAATGGGAAACCAAGTGTCATCTTCAGAATTTCAGGTCTTAAATCTGGAGAGGGAAGCCAACATCCTTCGTTTTTGTTTTGTTTTTGTTTTGAGACGGAGTCTCACTCTGTCGCCCAGGATGGAGTGCAGTGGTGCAGACTCCACTCACTGCAACCTCCGGCTCCTGGGTTCAAGTGATTCTCCAGCCTCAGTCTCCCAAGTAGCTGGGACTACAGGTGCCCATCGCCATGCCCAGCTAATTATTGTATTTTTAGTAGAGATGGGGTTTCATTATGTTGGCCAGGCTAGTCTCAAACTCCTTACCTCAAGTGATCCACTGGCCTCTGCCTGCCAAAGTGCTGGGATTACAGGTGGAAAACACCAAGCCTGGTCAAATTTTTTGTTTTTTTAAACGGCGTCTCACTCTGTCGCCAGGCTGGAGTGCAGTGTCACAATCTTGGCTCACTGCAACCCCTGCCTCCTGGGTTCAAGTCATTCTCCTGGCTCAGCATCCCTAGTAGCTGGGACTACAGCCACATGCCACCACACCCAGCTAATTTTTGTATTTTTAGTAGAGACGGGATTTCACCATGTTGGCCAGGATGGTCTTGATCTCTTGACCTCGTGATCCACCCGTCTCAGCCTCCCAAAGTGCTGGAATTACAGGCGTGAGCCACCATGCCTGACCCAAAATTTTTTAAAAATTAGCTGAACGTGGCGGTGTGTGTGTGTCTATAGTTCCAGCTACCCGGGAAGCTGAGGCAGGAGGATCCCATGAACCCAGGAATTTGAGGTGACAGTGAGCTATGGTTGTACCACTCCACCCCAGCCTGGGCAACAGAGAGAGGCCCAGTCTCAAAAAAAAAAAAAAAAGAAAAAAAAAACGGGGGGGGTATATCTATTCAATGGAATATTACTCATCTACAATAGGTAAATTCATACCAACAGAAAGCAGATTGGTGGTTGCCAGAGGATGGGAGGAGGGGAGAGTGGGGAGTGACTGTTTAAAGAGTATACGGTTTTCTTCATGGGAGATAGAACAGAGGTGGTAGTTGTACAACCTTGTGAATGTACTAAATGTCACTGAACAGCCTGGTCAATTGTGGCTGGGCACAGTGACTCATGCCTGTAATCCCAGCATTTTGGGAGGCCAAGGCAGGCGGATCACCTGAGGTCAGGAGTTTAAGACCAGCCTGGCCAACATGGCGAAACCATATCTCTACTAAAAATACAAAAATTAGCTGGGTGTGGTGGTGCATGCCTGTAATCCCAGCTACTTGGGAGGCTGAGGCAGGAGAATCGCTTGAACCTGGGAGGCGGAGATTGCAGTGAGCCAAGATCTCACCACTGCTTTCCAGCCTAGGTGACAGAGTGAGACTCCATTTCGAAAACAAATAAGTAACATAAAATGGTCAAGTTTATGTCACATGAATTTGACCTCAATATATATTTTTTAAATCTTAGCACAAACACAGAAGCAACAGACCTTATTTTTAATTGCCTCAGAGATTTTTGTATTTCTCTACGCATAAAGTCTCTAAAAATTCTGGCTTACCTTCTCTCCTTGTGCCTCTTGTTGTTTTTTTCTCACAAGTTTTTGTTTTTTCTCATTCTTTTCTTCTTCTTCTAAGACATCAAAACATGAAAGTGCTTTTTACTTCCCAAATATCTCATTTGAAGTATAACCAATCAAATAATTTATCAAAAGAAGGAAAAAAAATCTGAAGTCTACGGTTGGGAGACCCTAATATATCACACTGTCATTTATGTTTGGGTTGAATAGTATAACCTTTTAGGATTATGGTTTTATTCATAGTTAATTTGAAAGGGCTATACACTCAACACTGGTCACTTTCCTTTTATTTACTTACATTTAAATAAACAGTGAAAACACAATGTACCAAATTCACTAATGACAAGCTTCTTCCTAGTAGCATAGAAAATATGTAGTTTTTGGTTTTAAGATTCACCTGTTCTGAGGCTAAGTACAATATTATTTTAAAAGGCTTCTAGGACTCACAAACTTTTGCTTATCAAAAATGAAACAGGCTGGGTGAAGTGGGTCAAGCCTGCAATCCCAGCATTTTGGGTAACTGAGGCAGGTGGATCACTTGAGCCCAAGAGTTAGAGACTAGCCTGGGCAACATGGCGAAATCCCACCTCTACAAAAACTACAAAAATCAGCCAGATGCAGTGGCACACACCTGTAGTCCCAACACTTGGGAAGCTGAGGTGAGAGGATCACTTGAACCTGGGAGGAGGAGGCTGCAGTGAGCCAAGATCATGCCACTGCATTCCAGCCTGGGTGACAGAGCGAGACTCTGTCTCAAATTTAAAAACCAAAAGCAAGCATGATTTTCTAAAATTAAAAACATTTACATATAAAAGACAAAGGTGTCTAAGTAAAAACTGCTAGAATGGAACAAAAAATGAGGATGAAAAGCCTTTCAAGATTAATGGTAGATCGGCAGGGCGCAGTGTCTCATGCCTGTGATCCCAACTTCGGGAGGCTGAGGCGGGCGGATCACGAGGTCAAGAGATCAAGACCATCCTGGCAAACATGGTGAAACCCCATCTCTACTAAAAATACAAAATTTAGCTAGGCATGGTGGTGCACGCCTGTAGTCCCAGCTACTCAGGAGGCTGAGACAGGAGAATCGCTTGAACCCAGGAGGCGGAGGTTGCAGTGAGCCAAGATCGCGCCACTGCACTCCAGCTGGTGACAGAGCGAGACTGCATCTCCAAAAAAAAAAAGGTTAATGATAGATACATTCACTCTGTAGAACAGCTCATAAACTATAGGTATCAAATGGCAGTTAAGCAACACAAACACACAATTTAAAATTAGGTAATTTACCGTATAACAACTTAGAAATGATATAGCTTAAAAACACATATATATGAGAAAAATGTACAATTTCTCATAAAAATGTTGGGATATAGTCCATGCAAAGCAATCATCACTAATTTTTAAAAACTACACACAAAAAAATCATTACTAAAGTTGTGATGATTACTCTCCCTGAAACTACACATCACAAATTAATAGTAAAATGGTTCTTACTGTGCAAAGTTCTAGAATAAATAAAGGAAAGAAATTTGAGTAGAATGGCATAAAAGGGTAGCATAAATAATAAACTTACCCTTCAGATAAACTTGGGAAGATTTAAATGAGTTAAGCCATGAGGTAGTCACAGAAATAATTAAAGTAAGAAGAGCAAGCAGTAAGAAAATCCGGCCACAAAGCAAAAGAAAATCCTTGATTCCTGACAAAGGAAAAAAACTAAAATTAAAATTCAAAACTTTTTGTTTTAAGAGATGAGGTCTCACTATGTTGACTAGGCTGGTCTCAAACTCCTGAGCTCAAGTGATCCTCCTGCCTTGGCCTCCCAAAGTGCTAGCTAGGATAATAGGCGTGAGCCAACGCGTCCAACTCAAAACATTTTTCTTGATACTCCTAATAAATTATAACACATTAGAAGATTATCTGTACTGGGAAAGTAAAGTTATATAACTGTCTTATGATTTTGTTCATATATAGTCATCCCTTAGTATGCATGGGGTATTGATTCCAGGACTCCTGAGTATACCAAAATCCACGGATGTTCAAGTACCTGATATAAAATGGCATAGTGTTCGCATATAGTCTATGTTCCCACATACTTTAAATCATCTACAGATTATTCATATACTACCCAATACAGCGTAAAGGCTCTATAAATAGTTGCTATACTTTACTGTTTATGGACAGGGAAAAAAATCTGTACATGGTCGGGACAGACAGACAAACATCCATTTACCCCATTTTTTTTCTGAATATTTTCTTTTCTTTCCTTCTTTAAGAGACAGTGTGTTGCTCTTCTTGGTCTTGCTCTGCCACCCAGGCTGCTGGAGTGCAGTGCTGAGAACACGGCTCACTGCAGCCTCAACCTCCTGGTGCTCAAACGATCCTCCTGCCTTAGCCCCGCCAAGTAGCTGGGACTACAGGCACGCACCACCACACCCGGCTAATTTCTGTATTTTTTGTAGAGATGGGGTCTCGCCATGTGGTCCAGTCTGGTCTTGAACTCCTGAACTCAGGCAATCTGCTCCCCTCAGCCTCCCAAGGTCCTGGGATTGTAGGAGTGAGACACCACACCCAGCCCTTTCTGAATAGTCTCAATCCACAGATGCTTAAATCCTCGGATGTGGAACTCACAGATACAGAAGGCTTACTGTGTTCTCCTTTGGGCATTAAAAAACTCATAATGGTTGTCATTTCCAGAACAAATGTACAGAGCATAATTCTAGAATAAACACTATCTTGGGAATACAGTTATAATTAGAGCAATCAGCTACACTAAAAATATGAATGTCAGTAATGTATAAGTTGTAGTTTCCCATATAGAAAAAATTACATAACTAGAAATAAAACTGTGAAAATATCGTGTTGGTCGGGTGTGGTGGCTCACGCCTGTAATCCCAGCACTTTGGGAAGCTGAGGTGGGCAGATCACGAGGTCAAGAGATCAAGACCATCCTGGCTAACACGGTGAAACCCTGTCTTTACTAAAAATACAAAAGATTAGCCGGGAGTGGTAGCAGGTACCTGTAGTCCCAGCTACTTAGGAGGCTGAGACAGGAAAATGGCATGAACCCAGGAGGTGGAGCCTGCAGTGAGCAGAGATCGCACCACTGCACTCCAGCCTGGGCGACAGAGAGAGACTCCGTCTCAAAAAAAAAAAAAAAAAAAAAAAAAGAAAAGAAAAAAAGAAATCATCCTGTCAAATTCAAATTCTAGTTCTATGATAAACATTCTCACTGAAACACCAAATCCTTATTTCTCACAATTGTGCAACTGTGTGCTTCTGTATTTCTTGACATTTAGTCACTTGTAAGTAAAGTTACAATTTACATGCTTGCCGAGGAAAAAGTAAAAATTTAGTATTTGGTCTTCTTATTTATTTATTTATTTATTTATTGAGACGGAGCCTCACTCTGTTGCCCAGGCTGGAGTGCAGTGGTGCAATCTTGGCTCACTGCAACCTCTGCCCCCCGGGTTCCAGCTATTCTCCTGTCTCAGCCTCCTGGGTAGCTCGGACTACAGGCATGCACCACCATGCCTGGCTAATTTTGTATTTTCAGCAGAGACAGGGTTTCACCACATTGGACAGGCTGGTCTCGAACTCCTGACCAGGAGTGGGTGGTGATCCGCCTACCTCAGCCTCCCAAAGTGCTGGGACTACGGGCATGAGCCACCACACCCAGCCAGTATTTGGTCTTATATTAAGAACCAAAGTGAAAATTATTTGAGCAAAAATCTACTACCTACTTTGCATAATACAATTTGGCAAATGTTGAGGGACAGAAGACGAAGCTGGGTTAAAAATGATTTCCATCCTTTCGGAATTTTTACTCTTGTTTTGTGTTTTTAATTCTCAAAAGATAAATGGCAGAGATACAGAGGAATCCAATGTGATCAAGGCTGGTAATTAGTCAATTAACTAAAACTTAAAGAAGGAATTAGAAAAACACATATATAGGCTGGGCGAGATGGCTCATGCCTGTAATCCCAGCACTTTGGGAAGCCAAGGCAAGCGTATCACCTGAGGTCAGGACTTCAAGACCAAACTGGCCAACATGGTGAAACTCCCATCTCTACCAAAATATAAAAATTAGCCAGGCATGATGGTGGGTACCTGTAATCCCAGCCACTTGGGAGCTAAGGCAGGAGAATGGCTTGAACCCGGGAGGTGGAGGATGCAGTGAGCAGAGATCAGGCCATTGCACTCCAGCCTGGGCGAGAGTGAAAACTCTGTCTAAAAAAAAAAAAAAAAAAGAAAAAGAAAAACATATACAGACTTAAATGTTTTATTTTAAACTGAAAACAGATGTATATTCTTGCCTGTTTTTTTTTTTTTTTAGATGGACTCTCACTCTCCTGCCCAGGCTGGAGTGCAGCAGTTGATCACAGCTCACTGCAGCCACGACCTCCAGGGCTCAAGCAATTGTCCCATGTCAGCCTCCCAAGTAGCTGGGACCACAGATGTGGGCTATCAGATTTTATATATATATATATATATATATATATATTTTTTTTTTTTTTTTTTTTTTCCCTCCCCAAATGATGCCCGCTTCTTGGCCTCCCAAAGTGCTGGGATTACAGGCGTGAGCCACCATGCTTGGCCTAATATTATTCTTTTAAAAACCCTACCAATTTAAAGTTGTTTAGAGAAGAAGTATGACTTAAAAAAAAAAATCACAGCTCTTCCAACTTGACAGTATTAACTATTCATTCAGGTGTTATTCAATACAACATATAATTTAATTTATTTTATCTCTGGCCAGTACAAAAGTAGTTTAACGTCTAGAGTATTGGTATGTAAACAAAACACTGAGGCCGGGCGCGGTGGCTCACGCCTGTAATCCCAGCACTTTGGGAGGCTGAGGCGGGAGAATCACGAGGTCAAGATATAGAGACCATCCTGCCTAACATTGTGAAACCCCATCTCTACCAAAAAATACAAAAAATTAGCTGGGCATTGTGGCGGGCGCTTGTAGACCCCGCTACTCGGAGGCTGAGGCAGGAGAATAGCGTGAACCTGGGAGGCGGAGCTTGCAGTGAGCTGAGAAAGAAACCACTGAGGCAAGGCGCAGTGGCTCACACCTATAATCCCAGCACTTTGAGAGGCTGAGGTGGGTGGATCACTTGAACTCAGGAGTTCGTAGCCAGCCTGGGCAACATGGTGAAACCCCATCTCTACTAAAAATACAAACATTAGCCAGGCATAGTGGTGAACACTGGCAATCCTAGCTACTTGGGAGGCTGAGGCATGAGAATGGCTTGAACCTGGGAGGCGGAGATTGCAGTGAGCTGAGATTGCGCCACTGCACTCCTGCGTGGGCAACAGAGTAAGACTCTGTCTCAAAAAAAACAAAAAAAAACCATTGAGGTGTGGGATTTATGTTTCAATGTTTCATACTACTGCTGTTTGTTCTAACAAGCAATCTGCAAACATCACATGGGAATATGAAAGAACTCTATTTGTGTGTATATCTTTCGAGAAAAAAACTTTCTAAGGTCTTTTTTTTTTTTTTTTTTTTTTGAGACAGTCTCGCTCTGTTGCCAAGCTGGAGCGCGGTGGTGTGATCTCAGCTCATTGCAACCCCTGCCTCCCAGATTCAAGCAACTCTCCTGCCTCAGCCTCCCGAGTAGCTGGGACTACAGGTGTGCGCTACCATGCTCCACTAATTTTTGTATTTTTAGTAGAGACAGAGTTCCACCATGTTGGCCAGGATGGTCTCAATCTCTTGACCTCATGACTCGCCCACTTCAGCCTCCCAGAGTGCTGGGATTTTTTTGTGTACTTAAACTACAGACCCCATAAACAGTGTACTTCAATGGATAACAAACGTGAGGAACTGGCCTTAAAATATTTAGCTTAGACCAGGCATAGCGGCTCACACCTGTAATCCCAGCACTTTGGGAGGTCGAGGCGGGTGGATCACAAGGTCAGGAGTTGGAGACCAACCTGGCACAACATAGTGAAACCTTGTCTCTACAAAAACTACAAAAAAAAAATTAGCTGGTCATGGTGGCACATGCCTGTAGTCCCAGCTACTCAAGAGGCTGAGGCAGGAGAATCGCTCGAACCCTGAAGGTGGAAGTTGCAGTGAGCCGAGATTGCGCCACTGCACTCCAGCCTGGGTGACAGGGTAAGACTCCGTCTTAAAAAAAAAAAATATTTAGCTTAAGTACAAGTAAAATGTATTGACAACAAAGGTTTTTTTACACAGTAGAAAAAGACAACACAGGCCGGGCACAGAGGCTCATGCCTGTAATCCCAGCACTTTGGGAGGCCGAGGCAGGTGGATCACCAAGTCAGGAGATCGAGACTATCCTGGCTAACACAGTGAAACCCTGTCTCTACTAAAAATACAAAAAATTAGCTGGGCATCTTGGCGGGCGTCTGTGGTCCCAGCTACTTGGGAGGCTGAGGCAGGAGAATGGTATGAACCCAGGAGGCGGAGCTTGCAGTGAGCCAAGATCGTGTCAAGATCTGTTGCCTGGGCAACAGAGCAAGACTCCGTCTCAAAAAAAAAAAGACAAGGCTAGTTTTTCAATATATGTCTGAATATTAGTATAGGCATAACCAGCCCTGTTGTTGGTATAAAGTATGATATGTAAAACAGACTTAAATAGTGTTAACAAATAATTATTGGAAGCTCACTATCAAGAATCCAAAGGTAGCAAAAACAAAAAAAAAGGAAAAAAATATATATTAACAAAAAAAACTTAAAAAGGGAAAACAATCCAAAAGAAACAATCATTCATTCAGAATTCTGAGAAAGAAGCTAATTCCATGAAAATTTCAAGAACTAGATAAAGATGCTGCCAGGAGCCCAGGTGCAATTTCTAGAACCCTTGTCCCTAGTTCTATTAAACTAGACACTGGTAAGTGCTGGGAATACAAAAACAAATTCCATTTGGTCTCTGCTTTCAAGAAACAGATTTCTGGCTGGGCATGGTGGCTCACACCTATAATCTCAGCATTCTGGGTGGCCGAGGTGGACAGATTGCTTGAGCCTAGGAGTTCCAGACCAGTCTGGGCAACATGGCAAAACCACTTCTCTGCAAAAAATACAAAAAATTAGCTCGGCATGGTGGTGTGGCACCTGTAGTCCTAGCTACTCAGGAGGCTGAGGTGGGAGGATCACTTGAGCCGGGAAGTCCAGGCTCTGCAGTAAGCCATGATCGTGCCACTGCACGGCAGCCTGGGTGACTGAGCAAGACCTTGTCTCAAAAAAATAATAAATGAGCAGAGTAGGGGTGGATGTTGAAAAGACAAGGGAACAGGTGAATTCTGGAAATGGTGAGTGTGAATTCAACATTTGTGATCCTTTGGATAAAAGTCTTGTTACATTCTAACACAGCTTGAGTGAGTGGGAAGCATCAGGAGAGTGTACATCTTTTTTTAAAGCATTTTATTTTCATTTCTTATTGCAGGCAACTTTTCTAGACATCTGACTCCTTGTGAGCAGGGAGAAAAGGTGGAGAAAGAGAGGGAGTACACAAAGCCAAGTTTCATTATGGTCTCTAACTTTAGAATTGACCTTAAAAAGGGAGACAGACATGTAAACTGATCACTGAAATGTCCAAAAATCAACTCATGATTCTCAGCATCTCCACTGTTTTTCTTTCCATTTTCCCTTCACCAGTAGCACTACCAAATACCTAGGTTTGTTCAATCCCCCATGAGGCAGTCATCCTCGAATCCTTCCTTTCCCTTGCCCCAAACATCAACCCATAAACAAAGCCTGTTGGTTGATCCTACTTCGTCAATATCCCAAATCTGTCTACATTTCATCTCCTCTTTTATTGTCCTAGTCCAGGCCATCATCACCACTTGTCAACTTCCAAAGCCTGACGTGCCTCACTGCTTCCACCATAGCTTCGTCCAAAGCATTCTCCATACAGAATCGAATGACCTTTTTAAAGCCTTAGGGAAGTCACTTAATCTCCCTAAATTTCAGTTCCCTCAGCTGTAAAATGGGGATTATAATAGTGCTTACCCTCCTCTGACTGCAGTGCAGATTAAATGAGATAATAACCAGCACCTGGTATTTGGCTTATAATAGGTGTTCGGTAAAAGTCATTATCTTGAGCCAATTCCTCCTCCTCCTCCCAGCTCTCCTTGATTCACCTTTTCCTCCAACATGTCACAATCTTTTTGCCTAGAATACTCCTCCCCTCCCCAACCCCTTCCCTGCCTCCACTGGCTTTTCACGGGTGTGGCCCCTTATTTAAATCCCAGGGCCAGGCGCAGTGGCGCAGGCCTGTAATCCCAGCACTTTGAGAGGCCGAGGCAGGATGATCTCTTGAACCCAGGAGTTCGAGACCAGCCTGGGCAACATAGTGAGACCGTCTCTAATTTAAAAACAAAACAAAACAAAAAACCTCTCAGCCTAAATTCTCAGAAGGCCTTCATCTTATCAACCTGTTGATTTCCAGGATACGGAAGCACTGTCTATGATTGCCCCTGTGCTCTTTGCCGCTACTCTCTTACACGCAAAACCATCACACCTGGAGGCAAAAAGCTCCCCCGAAGTCGGCTCCGGAAGTGGGAGGCAGGCACCATGCAGTCTGGGAGTTGTAGTCAAAGCCGCTCCGAAGCGACGCAGCCGAAGAAGCGGTCATTCTATGCAACATTCCTGCGAAAATTACCCAGCTGTAACTGTCGAAGGGAAAAAGTCAACACTTACCTATATCCGGGATTCCACGCTGGAGCTCCAGACACACAAGAGGGACAGCAGAGAGGAAAAAAACACCAACAACCCCACGTGCAGCCATGGTGGCGGAAGCGCCTGGTCCAGGCGGAAAGCCCGCCCCTTCCGGCCGTGTTTTCTGGGGGAGGAAGTGGAACTCTTACTGCGGCGGGCAGGCTGGGAGAGGGTATCGTCCTACGGCTGTGTCGTTATTGAGGGGGAGCTAAGCCCAGTGTTTTTGACTCATAGTCTGTAGTCGTGTTTCAGAAGAAAGGCAAGTAGTCCCCAAGGTCACATGATGTCCAGAGGAGCGTGAGCTCTAGAGTGGTGGCTCCTTGGAGGGTAGCAGGGCAGGGGCTGCCCCTAAGGTCTCTGCAGCGTCGGTGAGGAAGCGCTTTCCAGAGGGAAATGAAGCCGAAGAAAACGCTGATGCTGTGAGAAGGCGGCCTGGCCCCCCTGACCTTGTGGCCGTAGAGGATGGATGTGGGCAGTAGCACCTTCCTTATCTCCCTAACGGTTCCTGCTTCCTGTTCCCGACCTCACTCTCTGGTTCTTGCGGAAAGACAACTCGAAAATGGGGCCTGGTTCCAAATACCTGCCCCTCAACATGCACGTCCTAATGCCACGTCCTGGAGACCCGCTACCCCTTGTTGCGCCACTTGTCAGTTTTTCCCGTATGCGTTATTGTTAACCTTGACTTCATAGTTCTGTGACCTCATTGCCATCCTGTAACTCACCGCTGTGCACTTCTCCCAACCTACTGAGATCCTCCCAACCTACAACATTTCATACTTAGAAATTCTTTCCTGGCCTGGCTCACGTCTGTAATCTCAGCACTTTGGGAGACCGAGGCGGGCGGATCACAAGGTCAGGAGTTCGAGACCAGCCTGGCCAATATGGTGAAACCCCGTCTCTACTAAAAATACAAAAATTAGCCGGGCATGGTGGCGGTCACCTGTAATTCCAGCTATTCGGGAGGCTGAGGTAGGAGAATTGCTTGAACCCGCATGCGGAGTTTGCTTTGAGCCGAGTTTGCACCACTGCATTCCAGCCTGGGTGACACAATGAGACTCCGTCTCAAAAAAAGAAAAAAATTATATTTCCTTGCCGGGCGCGGTGGCTCACACCTGTAATCCAGCACACTGGGAGAAAAAAAGGAAAATTCTTTTTCCTGACCCATCCATCTATCCTCCCACCTCACTCCAGTTTAGTCGATCTGACATTGAGCTCCACAGTTTGGTACTCTACAACTCTTGGAGATTGAAATATATACACGTTACTGAATTTGTCCTCAAGAAACTCAGCTTACTCTACTTTGGTTCTGTGGAGAAGAAAAAAAAAAAAAAACTGGGAAAGATAGCCCTGTAAGCAAATAAATGCAGTGCCTGAGTGCTATGATAGAGATATACACAGGGTGTTGCAGAACCATACCCGGAAGGCTTGCAGAAGGCTTTCCAAAAGGAAGTCCCTTTCAACATTGTGTTGAAAGGTTAGGAATCTTGGCAAGGGTGCCCGGGAAGGGTGGGATTTCAAGGTTAGGAAACTGAGTGCAAAGGAACTACCAGTGATTACTGCTGCAGTTTAGAGCTTGAGGCCGGGCTCGGTGGCTCACTCCTGTATTCCCAGCACTTTGGGAGGCCGAGGGAGGCAGATTGGTTGAGCTCAGGAGTTCCAGACCCCTCTGGGCAACATAGCTAAACCTGTCTCTCAAAAAAAAAAAAAAAAAAAAAATAGCTGCGTGTGGTGGCGTAGCCTGTGGTCCCAGCGACTCAAGAGGCTGAGGTGGGAGAATCCCTTGAGCCCAGGAGGTCAAGTCTGCAGTGAGCCAAGATCATGCCAGTGCACTCCAGCCTGAGCAATATAGCGAGACCGTGTCTCTAAAAATAAAGCTGAATGAAGGCTTTTAGAGGTAGATTTTTGCTAGGGCTGCAGAAGCTTTCCATTGTATATAGGCTAAGAACTTTATCCTCCAAGTAAAGGTGCAAAATATTAGGGCACAGTCTCAAGATCAGTAAGGGTGAGGTAATATAAATTATAGCATGACATACCATAAAATAATAAATTATATTGACTAGTTCAGATGTTCCCATAGTTGTCTGTATCTTGTGTTCATCATGCATAAGGAGGAAGACAGGAAAGGAAGTTCTACAGTTCTTAACCACCCACCTCTTTTATTTTTTTCTTCCTCCCTGGACTTCCATATTACCTAATTTAATATGTTGATGGTGCCACTGAATCTCTGGACTGCAACAGGAAGTTCCTAACCATTCCAAATTTACTTTGTCTTAACGTGGGAAGCCAGCATTTCCCAAACTTAGTTGTTTGTGAACTCTCTTCACTGCAACTGCCAGCTCTCCCCACCAAAGACCACCGGAATAACCTGTCACTAAGTAAATCTGAGTTTCTTACTGCATTAGAAAAGAACATGGCAGCCGGGCGCGGTGGCTCACGCCTGTAATCCCAGCACTATGGGAAGCTGAGGTGGGTGGGTCACCTGAAGTCGAGTTTGTGACCATCCTGGCCAACATGGTGAAACCCCGTCTCTACGAAAAATACAAAAATTAGCCGGACATGGTGGTCACACCTGTAGTAACAGCTGCTCAGGAGGCTGAGGTACCACAATCGCCTGAACTCAGGAGGTGGAGGTTGCAGTGAGATCATGCCACTGTACTCCAGCCTAGGCAATAGAGTGAGACTCAGTCTCAAAAAAAAAGAAAAAAGACTCTTGCTTTGACATAATCTTAGTGTCTCAGAGGGGACATCACGGGTGATTCTTATTTGTTTATGAGACAGGGTCTCACTCTGTCACACAGGCTGGAGTTCAGTGGCACAAGCATAGCTCACTGCAGCCTGGGACCCCGGGACTCAAGCGATCATCCCACCTCATCCTCCCGAGTAGCTGGGACTACAAACACATGCCACCATGACTGACTAATTTTTGTTCTTTTTTTTCCAAGAGATGGGGTCTTACTATATTGTCCAAGCTGATCTTGAACTCCTGGTCTCAAGTGATCCTCTAGCCTTGGCCTCCCAAAGCGTTGGGATTACAGGCATGAGCCATGGCACCTGAACATATGTGTTTTTTCTTGTAGGAATTTAGAAAATTGCCCTGCCAGCTCTGCTCTAAATCCTCAACAAGTAGCTGACTTTTTGTTTCCTTAATCTTAGGGTCCATCTTAGTTGATAAAGGGGTAAATAATTGTCTATTTTAGTCTCTCAGATCACAATATTTTTTTTTTTTTAAGAGAGATGAGGGTCTTACCATGTTCCCCAGGCTGGCCTCAAACTCCTGGGCTCAAGCAATCCCCCCACCTCAGCCTCCAGAGTAGCTGGGAGTACAAGTGTGCACCACCACACCCAACTATTACAGAATTTTTGCATTTAAAAAAGTCAATTATTTTTTCAATATTTTATAAAAATTTTCAGACCAACAGTTGACAATATTTTTACTCACATTTTATTCTCCTTATTTGATAACATACCTATCAATCCTTCCATCCTTTCATCAGTCTTAGTTTTTGATGCATTTCAAAGTTGCAAACATTAGCAGACTTTCTCTGAAATACTTCAACATGTATATTGTTAACTATGTCACAAGTATATAGGTAGAAGAGGCTAAAGATCACCTCTCCCCATCTTAGGTCTTAGTTGAGACTCGTATAATAAAAGACGGATTAACAAGAAGAAAACAAGTTTATTAACGCATACTGTGTGCATTAGACAGGAGAAATCTCAATGAGAAGTAGCTGAAAGCAATGGCTTAGAATTCTGTCTTATGAGAGTTTAACAAAGAGCAGTGAATTTAGGGGGAAATGACAGGGCAAAGGAAGGTGGTTTTAGGCTTCAGAAGGTGGGAGGCTGTGGGAAGGTAAGCACTGTATATGCAAGGAAACTAATGGGGTAAGTTTTGTTTGTAGATTCTTCTGGTGCCACTTTGGGCTGGTAACAGTCTTGAGCTGCCTCCAGTAAAGGAGAATGTCCTGTCTTTAGGCAGAAAAGTGAGAGGATAGGGAGAGCTTTTACTCTGTTTTCTGCTGCTTTATTTATTTATTTTTATTTATTTTATTTTTTATTTTTTTTGAGACGGACTCTCGCTCTGTGGCCAGACTGGAGTGCAGTGGCACCATCTCGGCTCACTGCAGCCTCTGCCTCTCGGGTTTAAGAGATTCTTCTGCCTCAGCCTCCTGAGTAGCTGGGACTACAGGCACGTGCCACCACGCCCAGCTAATTTTTGTATTTTTAGTAGAGACAGGGTTTCACCATGTTGGCCAGGATGGTTTCACTCTCTTGACCTCATGAGCTGCCCGCCTTGGCCTCTCAAAGTGCTGTGATTACAGGTGTGAGCCACCGCACCCGGCCTGTTTTCTGCTCCTTAATTGCCTTTGGCCAAAAAATAATTTTTATGTCAAAGAGGCATATTTTGGGGTGGCACCTTCTGGTTTCCTTCACATACTTCATCTGATCTACATACTTCATCATGCATATCATTAACTACAATGAAATGGACATATCATGAGCATACCATTCCTTGAGTTCCAATGTATGCATGCCTAGTGCAACCTAAATCCCAAGCAAGGTACAAAGCATTGACTGACCATGGTGGCTCATGCCTGTAATCCTAGCACTGTGGGAGGCTGAGGTGCCCAGGAATTTGAGACCAGCCTGGACAACATGTGAGACCCCATCTCTACCCAAAAAAAAAAAAAAAAAAAAATTTTAATTAGCTGGGTGTGGTGGCATGCACCTGAGGTCACAGCTACTCCAGAGGCTGAGGCAGGACGATCACTTGAGCCCAGGAGGTGGAGGCTGCAGTAAGCCGTGTTTGTGACACTGCACTCCCCCCTGGGTGACAGAAAGACCCTGCCTCAAAACAAAAAACAAAAAACAAAGCATTGCACAAACAGCAAGCATTGCTCTGATTTTTTTCCACCGTAGGTTAATTTTGCCTCTTCTAGGACTTTTGTAAATTATACAAAATGTACTCTTTGGATAAGGCTTTGTTCACACTGCATACTTTTCAACATTTTATGAGATAATTATAGATTCACATGCTGTTATAAGAGGTCATGGAGGTTGCATAAATCCTTTACCATTTCCCCCGATGTTAAAATTGTGCATAAGGACAGTACAATATCATAAATAGGAAATATATATTGACACAATCCAGTGGCTTCATTCAGATTTTACCAGTTACAGATACTCATTTGTGTGTGTGATTTAGTTCTATGCAATACTATCACCTGTGTCAATTCCTCTGAGCACTACAGTCAAGATATAGAGTAGTTCCATCACAGGAATTCCTCATGCTACCCTTCCACAGCCACCTCACTTTCTACCCTCACCACCATCAACCCCCATGAAACCACTCATCTGGTCTCCATTTCCTTTTTTCCCCTCCATCTTAATTGAGGTGTAATTGACAGATAAAATCCATCTCTTCAATTTTGTCATTTCAAGAATATTATATAAATGAATCATACAGCAGCAACAACAACAAAAAGCCTTTTTTGAGATGGAGTTTCACTCTTGTTGCCCAGGCTGGAGTGCAATCTCAGCTCACTGTAACCCCTGCCTCCTGGGTTCAAGTGATTCTCCTGCCTCAGCCTCCCGAATAG